TGTCATCTTTCCCTTATTTTCACATTTACCCCCTTAATTTTTCTTCACCTCTACCTATTTTAGTAAGTAATTTTAATTTTTATAGTTTTACATTATTCTTTTACCTTTCCTCTTTCAGTTTTCTCACTTATTTCATTATCTGCATAGTACTCTAGAATAGTGAAAATGTCTTTTTTCATAACACTAAACTTAATGTTAAGGTTTTTGGAGGGCTGAAAGAAAAAGAAGTGTTGGAAGAAAAAATGTATGTCTAATTTGATAGAAATTGTCGAGAAAACTATACGTACCTACAATGTTGTCGTCTACCAGTTTTATGATTTGGGTGCATGTAAAAAAGTGAAAGAAGTGAGAAAATAAGAGTAATATACAAATCGAGAAAACTAAAATTACCTGGTGAGAAATTAGAGGAAGACAAGATGGTACATGTGAAAACTAGAAAAAAAGAAGGAAGGAGGCGTGTGAAAAGAAAAAATAGTAAATTGAAAGTTAGAGATGTAAAATTAAAAATTTAAAGAATAAAAAAAATTATAAATTTTTGAATTTTTTTAAAAAAAATTAAAGAAGGTGTACTTATAAGAAAATGGGGGTGTATATATCATTAGCCAATTAATTTTGGTCTAGTTTAGCCCGACCCAAAAATTCAATGACTCATCACGGGCTAGCCCGTAGTAAGTCGGACCAACTTGCTAGCTCATAAAAACATACATTTCTAAAATTTATAAAAAAAAAAGTAGCAAAAACAACTAAACCTAAAGGAGCATACTATTTACTATCCACTTTTTATGTCTTCGTTTATAGATAAATGGTTATTTACGTTTCTTTCGGAGAAAGATATGTTGAATGAAGACATTTAATGTACATCTAATATCTTAGTTTTGATAATAGAAAAGTGATCATTTTGAGTAACTAATATTTGTTTAAGTCATTTTAGAAAATATGCCTCTAAGATGTAGAAAGAACGAAGAATTTAAATTTTTTTATTAAATAACATATTTTACAAACAAATAATATTGAGACAAGAGCAATACATAAGAAATAGGATAGTTAAATGTTCATAAGTCCAATGTTTGTTTGAATGTTTTATGTCTTTAAAATACACATTCAAATGTTCAAATTGTATGTCAATGATTCTAATTTTGAAAAAAATATGGGATTCTTGTTCTAAATATGCTTTGGGGGACTTTTATAGGCATGATGAGTTCCTGTTTAAAATAAAGTGTTTTATGTACCTCTGTGAAATGTTGGTTAGAGAAACTCATGGCGATGGATTGATAGGTCATTTTGGTTCTAAAAGGACTAGAAATTTTGCATGAACATTTTTATAGGCCTAATATGAAGCATGATGTGCAATATGTTTATAATAAGTGCATAATATTTAAGCAAGCTACATTTAAAGTTAAGCCTCATGGTTTCTGTCCTAATCAACCTTGAACTAATGTTTCAATAAATTTTTGTATCAGGATTGCCTAAAATTCAGTAGAAAAGACAACATTTTTGTTGTTGTTGATAGGTTTAGTAAAATGACACATTTCATTGCATGTCCTAAAACCAATGATGCAACACTTGCTGATTTGTTCTTTAAAGAAGTTGTGTGTTTGCCTGGTTTGCCTAGAGTAGTAGTAAGTGATAGAGATGTGTCTTGAGTCTAAAGCCTTTTTTGAAGATGTAGTTTTAGTTGTAGCTTTGTTTAAGTTTACTTCATTTTATATTTTTGGCCTATGTTAAAAGGATATTATATTGATTATTTTATAAGACTTAAGCTTGTATGTGTTTTGCTTGTTATGTTGTTTATTTTCAAAACTTATCTTGTCTTTTTTTTAGTAAACATGTCTCAATGTTTCTCATTTTATATGAAAACATAATGTAATAGATTATCAAGTTTTGGTAATAGATTACAAAGTATTTTTACATTAAATGAAACTTGAATCATTCAAAAGAATTCAATGTTAAGTGAGATAATATATTATTATTTCAGGTAATAGATTACTAAAACTTAGTATTTGAATTGAAATTCGTAGCTCTCGCTATTTTAATCGAGTACCATTTGTGGTAATAGATTACCATGATAACTTTTAGTGAAACAAGTGTTTTCAGTATTAGGTTAATTCTTACCCATTTTAGTAATTGATTACCTCTGTACAAATTGAGTTTTATGCTTACTAAGAAGCACAGATTAATCGATTATCATGTCTGATAATGAATTACGTCTGTTCTAGAATTAATGTGGGTTCAATTTTAAAAATTTGGTAATAGATTACCTTCACAGGTAATAGATTACAACAATTACAATTTTTTTTAAATGCTAAAATCCTCTTTGCACTATAAATATAACTCCTTTCAAAAACTTAAAAGAGAGATCATATATACTCTGAAAAATGTTTTAGAACAAGATCATATCACAAACTTTTTAGAAAGAATACAAGTACTAAAGATTGATTGAAAAAGATGAGTTCTTGAAAGATTTCAAGAATTTTTTAGCTAACCTCTGTATAAGATCATTTTACACATATCATGTGTATTTTCCCAGATCACAAATCTTTATTTGTGCTTTTGGTTTGTTTACTCTTTAAGATAAGGTGTCTTTAAAAGAGTTAAGAAAAACTTGAGACTAGTTTTGTTTTTCTTAAGTAAGTTCTTGTGAGGTGTAGAAATCTTTGTTTGTGAAATCTTGTGAATTCAAGATTATGTATGATTTTTATTCTAATTGTAATATTGCTTGTACATGGTATGTGTAAAGAATATTATAGTAGAATGACTTGATTTAGTAGTGCGCTAAGTCAGAAATTGGATGTAAGCCCTGGTATGGTTGAACCATTATAGATCATTGTGTTATTCTCGCTTAACCTTTATCTCTTGATATAATTATGCTATCATCTTGTGATATTTGTTAAAAAAAAGTTCATGAAAATGTTTCTTTATTTATTATCAATTGTTGTTCATATTCAGTTTATCATATATGAAATTTGGTAATAATAAAAGAAAAAATATAATTTCTAAAATCAATTTAGATTATGAATATTTGATCTGCTACATGCTGTATCTGATATTTTGTATCTTATTGCTAATTTGTAATTTAAATTTGATTAATAGTAATTGGGATAAGAAAGAAGAGAATAAAAAAAACTTTTTAAAAACCATAGAAAGCCATCTAAGTGTAAAATTTATTCAACCCCTTTTAGATTCGTATTCTACCAAGACCAACAATGTGAAGTTCCTAAGTCATTTTTATGAACTTTGTGGAATAAATTAGGAACTAAGATCTTCTTTTCCATTGTTTCACATCCACAAACAGATGGACAAACTATAGTTGTGAATAGAACACTTACTACCTCGTTATGTGCAATTGTTCAAAAAAAATTTAAAACAATGGGAAAAATGTGTATGGCATGTTGAGTTTGCATATATTTGAACTGTTCATTCTACTACTTCACATTCTTCTTTTGAAATTGTGCATGGATTTAATCTATTGACTCCTGTGGATATTTTTACCTTTGCCTACTAATAAGCATGCTAATTTGAATTATTAAGGAGTTACATGCAAGAGTTTAAGCCAACATTGATAAGAAAAATGAATAGTATGTAAAGCGAGCCAATAAAAGGTGTGTGAAATTAACTTATGAACCTAGAGATTAGGCTTGGGGTCATATGCAAAAAGAAAGGTTTCCAACTCAAAGGAAACCCAAGTTACAACCAATATGAGATGGACCTTTTCAGTTGCTCGAAATACAAATTGGACTTTACAAGTCAATATGGTAATATAAGTCCTAACTTTAAAGTGGCTAATCTATTTTTGTTTGATGTAGGTAATGCATATTATTTAAGGACGAACCCTTTTGAAGAGGAAGGAAAGATAATGATCCTACCTATCAAGGCAAAGATCCCTTGTATGACATTGGAGATCCCATGACAAGGTTTAGAATGAAAATGATGAGACAAACTTTACAAGGACTAATTGTGAAGATAAAGGCAAGTTCAGATCAAAGTTCATGTTTTGTTGAAATTGATCACTTTCCCACAAGTTGATGAAGACTTTAGGCCCAAATTGAAGACATGATGACAAACCCAAACTCATATGATCAAGAAGAAACATTAATGAGCTAGATTTCTTAGCTACAAATTTTTCAACATGTTCAAAGCTTGCCTTTTTCTTGCTACTTTTTCCTTTTTCTAAATGCTTCAACCTTTTTCAATATATACAAAACTTGCCTTTTTTTGAGCTATTTGGCTTTTTCTTTAATTTTGTCTCATTTTGGCTTTTATTTGTAATTGTCAATGATGAAGAGTTCCCTTTTCCTTGGCAATGGTGCTTGTTGGAGCACCATTAATGAGTATTATTTTGAAACCACTCTTAAATTTAATGAGTAAACCATTCTTGATCTTAATATTCTCTTAGACCATCCTTTATTTTGCTGAAGACAAAACCTCCTAGGTTCGAAGCTTGACCTATGTCATCATTGCCTCTCTTTGGAAAACAAATGCTTGAAACTCATTTGCTTTTGGTCTGTTGACCCTTTCGTTGGGTAACCTTTTCATATTTCATGTTGACTATAAGCTTTTTTATTCATCTTTTGCTGGGTAACCTTTTCATACTTCATGTTGACTATAAGCTTTCTTATTCATCCTTGGTGGGTTCTGCTTTGTCTCACTACCATTGTGTCTTTCTTTGATTTTCTAGAACCACTTCTAGAGAATGCCCTTATCGGACTAAACTTTTGACGTCTTTTTATTCTTACATAGCCTTACTCAGTGCAAGTGCTTCGGCTCAAGAGCTCCCCGTGATTCGTAGTAAACACAAACAAATAATGCAAGGATGCAAGACCAAAGAGAATGTAAAGCAAGAATGAATTGAAATTTTTCCTTTTTTTTGTTGGTGAATTTATACCCTTCAGTGTCGCTTATGCCATATTCTAAGCTAAAAAATACAAATTAATTTTACTTTTAAAAAATTAATCTATACCTATTAATTATCGATGAGGATTGTTAGCCTTTAACCTATGCAAAATTCGTTCCGGGTGTTTGTTTCTTGAACCTGAAATCTGTATAATTTGGTCATTCCTTGCTTGTATAGAATATAATCTGTCAACTCTTTAGATCAAGTGTCCCTAGACTGTGTTTTAAGACACCTCCAACCTCTCTTTATAAGTATTCACTCCACATATTTCATGTATCTCTTAGTATCATCTTAATGTCATATAAGTCAAGAGAAGAGAAAGAAAAGGGATATTTTAATTTTTCATAAGGTTCATTTAAAAAGGTTTTGAAAATGATTTTTTTAGAAGAAATTAGAATGACAATCAATGTTGTAGTAGTGTAGTAGTGTGGTTAATATGGTTAGTTTAAAGTCATTTTTTAAACAAATAGGAAAGACACAAATCACATTGCTGGAACATTAAGGTTTGGTTTGAAAATTAAATATTGATATAATTGATCTAGTTAAAGAAATAAAATAAATTGAGTTGAGAATTAATGTAAAAATACAATATCACATATTCCGAAGAATATTTTAGATATTCCAAACGTATTTATAACATTATTCAAAAAGGAACACAATTTCCATAAATGTAATTCTTGATAAACATGATTCTTAAGAATAAAAAAAATATATACACCATACATCAAACACCATCCTAAAGGATTTTGTTGCCTAAAAAACAAGTATTTTGTACTTTCAACTTCTAAGTCAAATCCATTCACCTCATTACTATCATATTTTAATGTGATAAATTCATTGAAATTATAAAATCAAATGACAGACATTAAAGTGTTCAAAATAGTGGTGAAATCTCTAAAAAAAAAAATTAGCAAAATTCCACTGCTTTTAAGAATTAACCAATATTAGTTTATACAAATGATAATGACATATGTCCCTTAACCTGTCCTTAGATATAAAATAGACTGTGTTGAGAGATAAATATTCCCTGTGTCTACTCATAATTCTCGATAAAAATTAGTTACTACTGTCAACAAAGAATACTTTGTTTACAATGATAAGCCAAAAATAAAAATAAAAAACTTTTAAGAACTTAAATATGAAATTAAAAAGAAAAATAAGGACTAAATTGAAAGTTTGTACCCCTGAAAACCTTATTAAAAAATCTAATAAAATTACTAGGACGGAAAAATGAATCTAGACATATGTATTTATCAATTTCAATTGTTATTCGACCACAGTTAAACTAATGAATGAAGCTTGAACTTTTCCTATGTCGATGACCCACCCAATTTTAATGACATTGGTTAATAAACCAAACGATTCGAAAAGATAAGCTATCAAATAGAAAATTCAAGCACATAAAAAAGTAAACAAGTCAAAACCAATACTAATATGATATAAGCCTTCTTCAAGTCTAAAAAAATCCCGAGTTTCAATTATTATATAAAATAAAAGACAAAATGCACTATATATGTACATGTACTGACATCCCCAAACAACTATTTTTGCACATATGTTGTCACCACTCACCAGAACCATAAGCATATCTTCTAGCTCATGGCGTATTTTTGAGTCCAAGAACGAGCAGTACTCTCGTACTTGGGCCTGTCCTTCTTGTACATGTGAGCAATATCAGGCACCAACGGGTCGTCCGGATTTGGATCTGTCAACAGGGAGCAAATTGATAGTAGAACCTGCAACAAATTGCATTAATAATCTAAGTCTCAATACATCCCAATGCTTTCCCTTTTCCTTTAGATGTAAATTCACGCCTTAAGACGAATTGCTTTACATTAAGAATTTATCAAAAAAATTATTAGTTGGGCAAGGAAACTAGAAAACAAGGCATATAGAGCCTCATACCTTGGAGACTGTGAGAGCAGGACTCCATTGCTCTTTCAAAATGTCTAGACAGATACTTCCATTGCTGTTTATGTTAGGGTGAAATACCTTGGTTCGGAAGGAAACCTACAAAAGCAAATTGTAAATACAATTCCCAGCCTAAACTATGGACATTTGTCAACATAAGACCAAATAAACATGCAATACATGTTTTGGGTCATGAATGTGCAATGTAAAATCCGATAAAAGGTTACAAGAGAAAACAAAAATGCATGTCTACCATAGGGAGGCTTTTGTTTTCAGTAGTTTAGCAATGTTAACATTATTAATCATAGATCATATCTAGATGTTGAACTCAATGTCATGTTATCTAAAGCTAACTACATATGAATACTTAATAAAGACAACTAAATTGTAAAACAAACAATTCATTTTCAAAGAGAAAAGATAAGTATTACACTACATGTACATATTAATTTCAGTTTCCCATAATAATTAAGGGGATCAATCTCTTAATTGCTAACGTAGTAACATGCATAATAAGTAAGCACTTGAATCTATCATGATGGTTAGGGTCTGGTTAGTTACCTTTGGTGGTTTAAATGGATAATCCGGCGGAAAGTGAATGGTCACCAGAAATACACCACCAGCATAAGGGCTATCGGTTGGACCCATAATTGTAGCTTGCCAATGAAACATGTCATCACCAACAGGGCCTACACAACAATGGAAAATATAATAAGATTCTAGATAACCTATACATAGAAAAAATAGCTTTAGGTGTACTCGAAACAGATACATAACTAAATATAATGTTATGTTTATTCATATTTCATATTATTTTACATCTTATACATACACCTGAATAAACCTTACTTTGTTGTTAGAGTTTCTTAAGTTCACATGAACCAGAGATCAAAACATCATAACCAACTCAAATCTCCATATAGCTTCTGCTACTCTCAACCAAGGCATTTGCCCACTAAATCCTTATCATTCTGTAATACTATCTTTTTTTACCACGGTTGCCAAGGTTGCAATTATTTAATTCATAAGATCATGTGTTGATCATAATATAATTTTAGAACCAACTTGATCAGATCTGCTAACTCATTTTGGTGAAATCAAGGCAGAATTGTCAGTTAAGATAATTAAAATAGTGGGATTAGCTATATTTAGCCATGGTAGATCAATCCAATTTAAGAGGGAAAAATCAAGGACAACCCAAACCCTAAAGCTATGTTTGACCTCTTGTCTCCTTGTTTCCATTCCATCATTCAATCAGTGGCTTCAGTTCGTCTGTAATCTGTATTGATTCATTCCCACAGGATGACTGGGTGATCTAGTGATTGACAATTGTGATTGAACAATTGAACTCTACACTCCTCAAACTCGGTTGAGGATTTCGGCTGGTTGTGGTTGGTTGCTAGTTTGATTCTACATTTTGTCATAAAACCTTTTCTTTTCCTAGCATTTTTGTAATCACTTGTAGGTTCCTTCAAACTAATTTGTTAGTGAGGCTGCAAGTATTTTAACAAAAACTATCCATTTTTCTTATTTATGTAATTTTATTTGCATACATATTTGCTATTTTGAACTTTAAGTAGGATTTTAGAATTCAAGTTATAAATTATAATAACACATTTCCCTTGTCTTCACGATGGAAATGTCATTCTTCTATAGTAAATTACTCCAACCTCCCTTATATTTATTGATTTATTGGACAAGAACTCCTATAGTCCCCTTTTTTTTCTAAAACCTACACAAAACCCCTCCCTATTTTATAAATATGCTACATTTATACCCCAAATCATTTTGCATAAAGTTGGATAAAAAAAAATCCTTATTATATAGATTGTTTGGTTAATGTTATCAATTACACATAGTGGCACATATACATACATTATAAATATTAAATAATTATTACTACGAATGTTAACAACACACTATTTTTAATACACTCTTATTAATTGAAAATTATTGGAAATCACAATTATGAGATTCATTAAATAAGATGTGTGATCTAAAAATTATGATTTCGAATAATTTCAACTAATAAGAAAAAGAGTGTATATGAGCATGTGTAGCTATCATTTTTATTAATACTAAATACAAGTACATAAAAATGCTGAAAAATTGAAAGAAAAAACTCAATTCATGAAAATATTTGTATGTAATAATAAAAATTAACAAAGCACAAGAAATTTGAACAGAAGAAAATGAACAGAGGACATAAAACACAACATTTTTTTCAAATAAAAAAGCACAATAAATTGAACAAAAGAAGACAATAGAAACCTAAATCGGGTGAAAAATAATTGAACATGAATTTAGAAACAACAAAACACAGAAAAAGGCGAACAACAAACTAGGTTCAAAATCTTTTGTACAGTGGGAGGGAAAACAGAGCAACAGGGTGAAAACTGAAAACAAAGAAATATAGATTGGGTTGTGCAGATTGTGGCCAAAAAATGCAGGTGAGAAGCCTGGGTTGCTCACAGGGGGTAGAACATCCCGCAAACACATCATCCATTCATTTGTTTTTATAAATACACATGAAAATCCCTAAAATTCCCATGTAACTTTAATACTTTAAAGCCTAAGATTCTAGGAATATTTCAATGTCACAACTAAATTGCACATGAAAGACTTAGGCCACACATCATTCTGAACTATTGAAACAGGACTAAACAACACAACACAATATAGGGGGAGAGAAAAATGAACAATAAACAATGGAGAGAATGTCAGCCCAAACAAACCTGCACTGCAAGATACAGGAGGGTCCTTTTGCAAATCCTTCAACTCCTTAGTAATACGTTTTGAAGCCATCACAAGTGTACCCCTAAGTTTAAGACACAAATTTGATCCAAATGAATTAATAGGACTCTATGAAGGTAATAAGGTTTATGAAAAAAATCAAAAGTCAATTTCAAATCAAACATCATGCAAAATAATTCATTAAATTTTTACAAGTAAACAAAACTAATGCATTCCAAAATAATTGTCAATCAAGGAAACATAACTATGTTTGACCAAGTTACTCCCCTTTACTCCATTAATACTATTTATCATCCAATTTACTAAAATTACAATGAGACAACAATAAAAAGGGTCGGCTCAAGTATAAGGCGGGGTTTGTGGAGTCCCTCAAGCAGAGAAGCATTTTCAGGCAGAGAAACACAGTTGTCTCAACAATAAGACAACACAATAAGAAAACCAAATATGAAGTCAATTTTCCACGAAACTACTTTTTACATTATTTATCCCAAATGTAAGATTAATAACTATGACGATTAAAATAAAAATGAAAAGTTCTATCACGACCAACCTATAAATTTCTAACAAAATATTAATAATAAGTGAAACACGGGATTTAAGCTATATACATGGTTTACAATCACATAGTTGAGAGCTTAAAATCAAATATAACATCAACATCCAAACGAGTAAAGGAAAAACAAAACCACCAGTTCAGCTGTCAAAAGGCAATAAAGAAATAAAATCAATAAAAAAAAAAAGCTAAATCAAACCCTAAAATTCACGAAATCAAATTCCACATCCATCATAACACTAATCAAGCAAAGCAAAGCAAACGAACAAAAATAGTGTTTCAGAGCAAAGAATAGAGATCAAAATCGAGAGAATAGAAAAAGGTGCAAAATACCTTGAAATCCTAGGGTTTAAAGTTTAATCAGCGATTAGAAAGCATTGAGGAGTGAAAGAGTGAGTCGCTCATGCTATTCCTTATATAATCTTCCGAGCATGATGTGTCCGTTGGATGCCATGCACCTGAGGTGAAATGAATTTTGCACTTTCCTTTTTCTTTTTATTCTAGATTATTCTATTATCTTCTATATAACATAACTAGTATTTTAGTTATATATAATTAATAATTGAAATATATAATAATTATATATAAATAAATATTATGTTTAAATATATAAATTATATTTAAAATTATATATATATATATATATTATATTTTTAATTTATATAACTAATTTGTATTATAATAAAATATTTTTTTATAATTTATTTTAAAATATTATTATTTAATTCATAATATTTATAGGGGTTGGATATGTATAATATAACTAGTATATTTATTATATAATTAAAATATATAATTCTTAATAGAGTTTCATATTTAATATATAGGGTTGGCTATATATAATATAATTAGTATATTTTAGCCTATACAATACACATGCATATTTATTATATATAACTACTGAGATTGAGACATTTTGTGTCTCTATATTTTATTGAATAAAGGTATTTAAAAATTATAAATATTTATTAGATAATTTAGTATTGCATTTGATTTTTAAACTTTAAAGTATCAAATTTGAGTCCTGTGTTTGTAAGTGTAATTAATTTTTAATATTCTAAAGTTTAAAAGATAAAATCATCTCAAAATGTGGATACCAAATCAAATCATCACATTTATAAATGTTATATATTAAAATATATAAGAAATTATGTACATAAATAAATATTATATTTGAAACTTATTTGTATTGTAACAAAATTTTATCTTTAATTTTTAATAATTTATTTTCAAATATTTTTATTTAATTCATAAAATTATGTTAAATAAAAATTGAATTAGATATAAATTTTAAAAAAAACCTCTATAAATCCTATCGTTGAAGAAAAATTCTTAAAATCACTCTAGCGCAATTTGTGTTTAATATATAATAGTTGATTATATATAATATAAATAATATTTTGACTTGTACATTACATAAACATATTATTTATATATAATTAATTATGCATATAAATAAATATTATATTTGAATATATAAATTATACACATAAATATTTTTAAACATATAAATTATGTTTTTGATTTATGATAAAATAATTTGTATAGTGACAAAATTTCATCTTTATTTTTTGATAATTTATTTTAAAGTGTTATTATTTAATTCATAAAATTATGATAAATAAAAATTGAATTAGATAAGAAGTTAAAAAAATCCCTACAAATCCTCTTGTTGGAAAAAGGCTTCTAAAAATACTTTTAGATAGATGTTCGTGTTTAATATATAGGATTGACTATATATAATGTAACTAATATTTTAGACTATGCAATACATAGACATATTTATTATATATAATTTAAATATAACAATGAAGAAAGACAAATATAACAAAAAAAGTATAAAAAAAAATTACAAAAGGTCTCCAAAATATGGGTAACAAACAAAACCTTATGAAGAGTGAAATAGAACTCATAGGTTGCTTGTTACTTCCCACCCTTTACTGTAGACAAGGATGTCGTAAAAAAAAACCAGCACTCATTTTTGTAACTTCTCACGAAACACTTCATTCATTAGAGCTTGAAAAGTGGAGGGTGCGTTCATGAGTTCGAAGGGCATCACGATGGAGTTGGCAAATCGTAGCAACAGATGGCAGGGAAGAAATAACACACGTGGAGGAGGAGGATCCCATTTGGGTTATAGAACCCAAACAAGCGTTTCGGGTCGGGTTGGTCCACGGAATGTTGGTACTGGGGGAGATACCAATGGGCCAGGCCCAAACTCACGTTTAGAAGGAGTGGGTAGAAATAAAATTGGGCAAAGGGATAGAGGCACTAAACACCTAGCATACCAGGACTTGCTAGATAGGAGGCAACGTGGGTTATGCTACAAATGTGGTGGGCCTTATGGCCCATTACACCAATGTCCAGTAAAGCAGCTACGACTCATTTTGGTGGATGACGAATTGCAAGTCGAGTACGAAAGGGATGACAATAAAGTCGAACAGCTGAAAGAAGAAGACAAATCAGAACTTGAAGGCGAATGCAGTTCTATATGCTTGCACAGGCTGGAAAAGGAAAGGAATCATCCGTTGAACACAATGAAATTACGCGGTCAGGTGCGAGGAATACCGCTATTCGTCTTGGTGGATAGTGGGGCCACCCACAATTTTATTTCAAAGAAATTAGTAGATGTAATGGGCTGGTCGCAGGAATCTACCAAGAGAATGAAGATTTTGATGGGAGATGGTCATAAATCAGAAACTTCAGGAGTGTGCCGTGGTTTGAGGGTGGAAACAACTGTTGGGGAATTTACTGTGGATGCATTTTTGTTTGAATTAGGGGATATTGACATGATTCTGGGCATGTCTTGGCTGGTATCTTTAGGTGAAATGGTTGTGGATTGGAATAAACAGAGGATGAAAATTGTGACTCCACATGGGACCAAGGTGCTTGAGGGTGCGCTGCGAGGAGAACCATTGTTGGCGTCCCTTAGTGAAACAATTCCGAAGGATGAACAAATAGGAGGAGTAGAACTGAAACAAGAGCAACAAGAGGCATTGAATGAGGTTTTAAAAAGGTTTAGAGATGTTTTTGTAGAACCAAAGGGCTTACCCCCGATACGAGCTAAGGAGCATGCCATCATTCTCAAAGCGGGTCAGGAACCAATTAATGTTAGACTGTATCGTTATCCTTACCACCAGAAAAATGAAATCGAACATCAAGTGAGAGAATTGTTGACTAATGGGCACATCAGACACAGCCAGAGTGAATATTCCAGTCCTGTGATTTTGGTCAAGAAGAAGAAAAATCAATGGCGTATGTGTGTGAATTATAGGGCACCTAACAAAGCCACCATTCTAGATAAATTCCCAATACCCGTAATTGAAGAGCTTCCGGATGAATTGCATGGAGCCAGCTTCTTCTCTAAGCTGGATTTGAAATCAGGATATCATCAAGTTCGCATGAGGAGAGAGGATATTCCCAAAACAGCGTTTAGGACTTTGGACTGCGATGATCATACTATGTATGGGAGCAGAACATGAATAGGTGGCCGTCTTGGGATGAGTCTCCGACGGACCTTGGAGCTGTTTTGCTTGTGTGGATATTTTGCTTGTAGCTACTTGGGATAGTAGCATTTGGTTGTAATTTTCTTTTTGTCACTTTAACCCTATTCATACCATAAGTTTGTATATTTATATATTCTAGATCCTATATTTATATACTTGTTCTATCTGTCTGGAGTTTCTAGTGTACGATGCCGTGTATAGTGACTAGCCGGGTCGTTACATGTTATATCTTAAATGGTGAATATCACCATTGAATTCTAATGAGAATTGTAACATAAGATGAAAATTAAAATTTAGAACATTTAAATTAGAGAAAATTAACATGAGAAAAAGGTGAAAAAATACAAAGAGTAAAATAAGAGAAAGAATTGTGAATATCACCTTAGATTTCTATAGATTTGAGTAGCTAGAAAAAAGGGGAATCTATTTATAATAGAATTGTGTAGAACTTTTAGTAAGAGAGATGTATAATAGAATGTAAAATTTTCTATACATGTTGACAATGAGTGAAGATGAATTGTTTAAAACTTTTATAAGGGAAAAAATATAATAGAACGTAGAATTCTTGATTGATTGAGAGCATAACCACAAAATATAGTATTGGTTGTGGTAATAACTAACAATTACATGAGAACTACGAAGGGATGGGAAATGGTTGACACATAAATAAATACACTGACATAGCAACATTTGATATTAGTTTTATAGAGACATGTCAACATAATAACTCATAGCTCAACTTTTATATTATAAATTCATTGATTGAGGACATAACCTCAAAATATAATATTGATTGTGTTTATAATGACGGACAATTACATGAGAAATGTGAAGGTATAGGGAAGGATTGACACATAAATAAATATGCTAACATGACAACATTTGATATTAGTTTTATAGTGACCATAATAACTTGTAGCTCAAATTTTTATATTATAAATAGATGGTGTGAAAATAAAAAAGGCAATACTTATGTATTATTTGTTTTTTTTTTTACCATTAATAATATAATTCATCATATTTCTTTTATTATAAATTTAATCAATATTTTAGTATAATTAATGATTGATTGGTATCAATACTTTTGATTATTATGACAATTGTTATGATAGACAACCATAAAATTGTATCACATATTTTAGTTATTATAATCATTTATAAATATTCATGAAGTGTTTTTTTTTTATTGGTGCCATGTTAGACTTAACAATTAATATACTTTTGTAAATTGCTTAATTAGTGGTTTGTTACACTTTGTACGGAAAATTATAAGATACAACAATTGATATGTAAATATATATAATGAGTTTTGTTTGATATTGTTTAATTTATTTCAAATTAATTAGTTATTTAATAGGTAATAAGGAAAAACATTTGAAGAAAAAAAAGTGAAGATTCAACATGATTGAACACATCTTAAGATGATTTAACATGACTAAAAACTTGTCTCAGAAAAGCGCAGGTTGAATTGGTCACCATTAATCATCACACACTCGTCTAAGAAAGACGTGGGCTGGATAGGTCAACACCAACCACCACGCATTCATCTTGAAAAGGTGTGAGTCAGATTTGTCGCCACCAACCACCACACATTCGTCTCGAAAAGATGTGGGTTGGATTGATCGACACCAACCACCACACATCCGTCTTAGAAAGATGGGGGTCAGATAGATTGACACCAACCACTATGCATTTGACTCTAAAAAATGTGAGTAAGATTGACTTTCAACTAGTCACCAGCAAAAAAAAATTGAGGGATTAAGGTTGGGGGCAAGTGTATTGTCTCGAGAATATTCCAAGGGGTATCGACTAATTAGAAAAATATAGAGAGGCCACCTACAACCTTTATGTACCTCATGTTTAAGGTTGGGGGCAAGGGTACCATCTTACAAATATTCCAAGAAGCCTACCCATTACATACTGTTCAAGTTAGTAGATTAAATCTTGTGGTGGTAAGATATTTACCGAGTTGGGAG